TAGGGAAATTTTTAATGGGAAAAGAAATTATAAAAAAATATAGGTCAATATTTCAATTATTTTAGAATGGGGAAGGATTACTTGGCAATGACAAAAGGAGGATATTATAATGGAAAAAAAGATGGATGTAACTACATGCAATTTATTTATTTAGGCCATGCCCTGGGGTAGGCAGAGCAGGAATCGAACCTGTGCCCCTGGCAGTGGAGACTCAGAGTCTCAACCACTGGGCCATCATGTAAGTCCCAAACTACATATAATCTAAAGACACCTTTATTTGTAGTGGGCTCAACTGATTGCTTAATCCGACTGCCATTTTCAACCCCCCATCTCTGAGGCCGGCCTGTCACACAGAGGATGGAAAAATGGGTACTTGCTTTCTCAGCTACCGATCTGACCATGGATACCATTTAACTTAATCCTAACAGAGGAGACATAAAGGATGTTTCTGGAAAAGCTTTTAAGGGGACAGAAACTTGTGGTACCTCTGTTTCTCTTGCTTCCTGCCTTGAATTTTTGCTATGGGAGTCTGCTGCTGTATGAACCATTTCATTACCAAAAGGCAATAAACATGAGACTGAAAACTCAGCATGCAAACGACAGTGAGATGAAGGGCAAAAGCATCAGGTAGTTAATGGCATTCGTGAGTGGTACCCAGGTGGCCCAGTGGTGAAGAATGCACTTGCAATGCAGGGGATACGGGTTTCATCCCTGGGTCAGAAAGATTCTCTGGAGAAGGAAATGGCAATCCACTCCAGTATTCTTGCCTGGGAAATTCCATGGACAGAGGAGCCTGGTGGGCTACAGTCCATGGAGTTGCAGAGGGTCGGACACAACTTAGTGAGTGAGCAACACTATCACCTAACTTGGGGCCATCTACCCTCAGATTTCTTGTTATGTCAGATATTTAAGTGTCTTTATAATTTAAGTCAATGCTATTTTATTACTTGCACATTAAAAATTTTTAACTACATCTGTATCTGCCACCAAAAAATTACCATAAACACAATGAAGGGCAAACAAAGATTGCGGAAAATATTTGCAACATACATGATGAATTAGAATGTAACATCCTAATAAAATAGGAAATTGCAACACCCCCCAAAATGCAGTGGCCAAAAAATGAATGAAATATAATTTCTCCTTATTGGAAATTCATGAAATATAAATAAATCTCAAATAAAAGAACCAAAAGACATTTGCAATCTATCAAACTGACAAATTTTTAAAACAAGAAAATAACTTCCAGGATTGAGCAAGATTGTGGGGGCAGGGAGAGAGTAAATATTGTGTTCCAAGAAGACAATTTATCACTCTGTATCAAGGTTTAAGAAAAATGCATAACCCTTGATCTTGCAATTTTACTTCTAGGACTTTCTCTCACATAGTATGTGAAAAGCAAAATCTACAAAGATGTTCATCACAGTGTTATTTATTATAATGGTGAAAAATCAGAAATAAATGTTCAACAATAGCAATCAGTTAGACAATAGTGTAACTTTTTTGGAAAATGAAATAGTATGCCAATATTAAACGTTACTGTAGGAAAATATTTAGTTGTATGGAAAATATGCTATATTAAGTAAGCAGAAAAATTACAAATAAGCATATAGAAATCAGAAAGGTGAGAAAAAAATCCACCCAAATATGAACCACCAGTCTTCGTTAGTTTGATTAGGCGTGGTTATGAATTTCTTTTGTTGTTTTGTTTCTATGCATATTTTTTCTGCATTAAACATGCATTGTTTTTGCATAAAAGGTGCAGTTAATAAGGAGCTTCTAGGAGGCTTTAGTACTCTGGGATATAAAATTTCCGGAACCTCTTTCTTCCCCCCGGCCTCCTCCTTTCCTGCTCTCTGGGTCTGGTTTCTTTCGCCTCTTGTCTTCCCTGGTCAGCTTCGCTGAACGCGGATTATCTGAAGCGCTATTCAGGACTTTAGCTCCACGGAGACCGAGACCAGCACTCAGCGCCCGGAGAGCCGCGTCCCCTGCGGAGCGCGCGGAGGGGCTCCCGGCTCCCCACCAATCAGCTGGCGATGGCCACCCCGACCGAACGACCTTTCCAGAACTCTTTGCATTTTCCTTCAATTCTCTGGAGGTTTTCGCGATTCCAGCACGCCTGCCCGCCTGCAATGGCCCCATAGCCAACCGCGCTCGCGTTCGGGGTGCGACCGGCCCACTGCGGCGGAAATGGCAGCGCTGGGTACCCATCGCAGACTCCTAGCAAGTCCCAGCCCCTCCCCAGGAAAGGCCCCATCGAGTGCCTTCCAGGCCCTCTGACACCCGGAGGCACCAGATAGGTTCCAAAGCACATGGAAAGATGGTTCCATGTTTAAAAAATAAAACAAAACCCAAACAGCAACAAAAATAGCGCCCACTGCAGGGAACAGGCGGTGCGGGCCAAGGAACTAAGAAAAGCAAGTCAGAAATCCTGCTCAAGGAGCTCACAGGCAGGGTGGGGTCAGGACGGGTGGTTGGGGGGAAACCACCCTCACAGGAGACTCACAGGCCCTAGTGACGCACAATGAGCCCATATTATCCTGCGCATTTTACCGATGAAGTTGGCGAAGGGAAACAGGCATTTATTGAACACCTACTATGGGCCAGCTACTTTCACCTAAGCTATCTTTTAATCGATAAGGCAAGTGAAGCCGTGGGGAAAGAAATAGATCCACTTTTACCAATAAAGAAACAGGTTCTAAGGAATAACATTCCCGCTTTACGGATTAGGAAACTGAGACCCCTAGGAGGAGGATCAAATGCCCAAGACCTCACCAGCAAATGCGAGGCTCTAATCTGGGTCTGAGGACACCAAAGCCGGAAGGGTTTCTCCTTTTTCATCCTGCTTCCCACATAGGGGCCACTTTGCGACCCCATGGACTGTAGCCCGCCAGGCTCCTCTGCCCATGGAATTCTCCAGGCCGAAATACTGGAGTGGGTAGCCGTTGCCTTCTCCAGGGTATCTTCTCAACCCAGGGATCGAACCCAGGTCTCCCGCAATGCAGGCAAGTTCTTTACCAGCTGAGCCACCAGGGAAGCCATGGAAACCACTAGAGCGCCCCAGCTCGCCCCGCGTCAGAGCTGCAGTAAGTGCGGCACCCGAGAGGGTTTTACCGCCTTTAGTCCGGCGCCCCCTATCGGGCGCAGCTGCCATTGCTGATAGTACTGTTCAGGCGCTTTGGCCCTCGAGACAGTCCCCGCGGCTGACCCTCCAAGCAACTTGACCCCTGCTCGATCTCCCCGGTGAAACCAGAGTAAGTGGAAGTTCGAGGGTGGGACGGAGCTGCCCGGCCCGATTTCCTTGCTGTTTTCCAAGCCTGTTCTGAGGTTTCCTAACCTTGAACCCCGCCGCCCTGAAATGCATGTCCACCTCCTGGGAGATGCGGAGGGGTTCGCATCAGCCAGAAATGGAATTTCTATGCCTGGGGCAGCATTTGAGGAGGTCCTAGAGCTAGAAGTCCTGTTCACACCGTTAAAGACAACGTGAAAGCATGCCTTGTTCCCAGCTGCCTTTTCCCGATTTTGTCTCTTGCCACGGAGGTGTGTGGTGTGGGTGGAGGTGATGCTGAGGTGTGTGTGTGGGAGGATATCGTCTGGTGCCGACTGGAATGATATTCTGACTGGTGACATGTTTGTAGCTGTACCCACTCCCCCTCTCCACCCACGCAATCCGGGGCGGGGGTAGGGATGGGGAGTTGGAAGACAAGTGTATTATGGGGAAGAAAGTTGGGTCTGGAAGCCAAGGGTGCGTTTCGGAGGTTGGAGGAAGAGGTGACTTGTGCAGAGAGGAAAGTGGGAGCCTTTTGCCCACCCCTCCCCTTCCCAGGTGGCTCAGACGGTAAATGCGGGAGACGCCGGTTCGATCTCTGGGTCGGGAAGGTGCCCTGGAGAAGAAAATGGTTACCCATTCCAGTATTCTTGCCTGGAGAATCCCATGGACGGAGGAGCCTGGTGGGTTACTGTCCATGGGACCGCAAAGAGTAGGACACGACTGAGCGACTAACACACACACACACACACACACACACACACGCACACGCACACACACCAGATCGAGGAGGGGATCCCTGGGGTGGGGGTGGGGGGCGCGATGCCCGCGGGCGCAGAGCGCAGGGCGAGCGCAGGGCCGCGGAGCGCGCGTGTATAAGTGTGTACGTGCGTGTACGTGTGAAATGCGGCCCGCCGGCTGCGGTGGAGGGTAAGCTCGGCAAAAAATATGAATAATCAACACATCGCTCACACCTCCGCGGCGAGCGGGGAGGGAGCTGGCGGGTCTCGAGGGCTTTACCCTGCCGGCTGGCAGAGGGGCTTGGGGGGAGCGGTGCGGGGACGATTAGGAGAAGACGCGGGAGTGGGGGGAGCGGGGGTCGCTTCGGAGGAGCACGTGTTATCTTCTCCCTCAACTAAACCGAGAAGCCGATAAAAGGGCCGGAAAGACTCCCATTGAACTTTTTCTGTGTTAAGGCCTTAAGTTGCTCGCCATTGTGTTGCCTTACAAGTGGGACATCAGCAGGGGTCTTTGTTCCCTACTTATCAGCTGAGACGCCACTTGTCACCTCCCATCCTCATTTCATTCATCTGTAAAATGGGGGTAAAACGGTCCGTCTTAAAGTGTGGCTGTCAAGTTTAAAGGTGAGAAAGTGTCTGGCAGTGCCTGGCTCCGCGGAAGTGCTGGGGAAACGTCCAGCCTGCGTTCGTTGGTACCTTCCTTTCAGCCCTATTCTGCGGGAGACTTGCTCGATCGGGTATCTTGACGCCGGTCAATTCACCTCTAGATCTCTGCGCCTTAATTCCGCGGTGACGGAGACGCCACAGCCTTGGTGCACAGCTTCCTCCTGAAGGGGTTGCAAACGGCGGGCTTACCCCATGATGCGAGCGCCACCCTATCCTTCCAGGAAATAGGGTCCCCAGGTGCGGAGGCCGCAACAGGCACTTCTTTCTCTGTGGATCACCTGTTCCCCAACACACACACACACACACACACACACACACACACACACCCGTGGACCCTGCTCCGACATCTGCGCTCCAAACGTCCAAACGCGGCTGCTGCTTCGAAAATTTGTTCTGCTGACCTTTCCGCAACTCTGACTCGGCTCCATCGCTCGCTCGGCACGCCCGGATCAGGGAATGGGAGGGAAGGGTATTTCTGAAAGGGTGAAACAGCAGGAGAGAAAAGAAGAGGAAGAAAAAGAAGAGGAGAAAAAGAGGAAGTGACTTTCTGGAGCTGTCGAATGTTAGGATTAAAGCCCTCTGACTCCTTCAGTCCATTTTCACTGGCCTGGGTGTCACATCGTGTGTCTAAAAAGTGTTTTTCGTCGCCTCAGTATTTCTGCAGCTGTTCCCGCTGGAATCCCTTTCACTCTGAAAAAATAAATCAAGAAGAGAATCTAAATTTTTGCCAAATTGTCTTTAAAGGGCTCTGTTTGGTATGGATGATGGAGTCCTGAAATATTTGTATCACATTTGTGAATACAGTAGTTCCTGCCCTCCACCCCCCAGGGAATTCTCATTTATGAAGGGTTCAAGTCCAATTTCAATAAGAAATTTGGAGTTGGTGGATTTGGATGTTTAACTGATGCAGAGTTGAAATCTGAACTGGGAGGGAGTGGAGTTGGGTATTTAAGAAAATTATTTCACGAAGCGTTGTGAGCTAAATATTGTCAGGGTTCAGAGATGGTGAATCAATCTATTTCTACTCAGATAAATGAAAATCAAGGTGTCAACTAAAACAAACAAATTGGAAAATTCACGTCCGAAGAGAGGTTTTCGGAGAGTGCTGCTTTTTAACATTTATCAAACCCAGACTGTCCCTGCGGATCTAATTCCCTGGGAACTAGTCAGCCTCAGTTCGTCCGGTTGCTAGACCTAAGCTCCGCGTGTGTGTCTGGGGGTGGGGGTGAAGATCGGGCTGTGCATGTGTGTGTGTGTTCTCACACCTTCAATTTCATCTCTGGGCCATGCTGGACGAGAACTAGGCCCAGAGAGCAATTTTCTAAGAAAAATCTCGGAACCTCTGACCCGGAGGAGAGACGCGGCGCCCAGGAGACTGGACCGAGAAAGAGACGGGGAAACCGGCCTTAAAACCAATCGGGAGGAAATTGAACGTATCGCACCAAGATGCAGATGTGAAATTTGAACGCGGGGGAGGGAAACACCCGGGGGTTTCTTGGGAAGGGTAAACAAAGGAGGGGGCAAGGGGATAGACGGAATACCACGACCCCGACCTTGGTTTTGTGTAACTAGATGGTTAGGAAGAATTTTAATAATGTTCATCTCGGATTCTTCTCGACCCCGGCAAGGGGCTGAACGAAGCTGGCTGGCCCAAGCCCCGGAGGCGCGCGGCCTCCGCACCCCCGCCGGGCCGGGCTTCCCCGGGCCGCAGCTGCGCCTGCCGGGCCTCCGCGCGGCTCAGGGCGGATTTTTTTGTGGCGTGTTCGAAAAGGTGGTTTGTTCGGGGGTAGCCGGAGGCCATCGAGATGCGAGAGACCCTCCGGGCGCAGCCACCGCGCCGCTCACTCCATCGTTAACCAGCGTTCCTTCTCGGCGCTGGTGGCCGACTCTGCGCCCACCCCTTCCCCAAACCCATACAGACCTAATTAAACCCAACCCGGGTGGCAGAAACGCTCCTTGCTCCCCGAAGGCCGAAGCGCCGCCTTTCTGGGCCCAAGACTGCTCCCCCCGTTCCGTGCCCCCTGCGCTAGCCAGGGAACTCGGTCCCAGCCTAGAGGGAACTTGGTTGTCCGTGGCTCTTAGCCCACAGGGCCCGCAGCATCGCGGCTACCGTTCGCCCCGAACGCCCTGCGCCGCGGTGACGGGGAGGGCACCTCTAGCGCAGCCGGAGAGGAGCCGAGCGGCTCCCCGCTACACCCAGGTCAGGGTTCCATGGCCATGATTTTTAAAACTGCCTCCTGGCTGGGCACTGAGGCCCCTGAACTTGTCTCTGGGACGCGAGGTGGGGGCGCCTGCCGTAAGGGGTCGTCTGGTTTGGGGCGGGCAGCAGGGAGCCTGGAGAATGAACCAATTCATTCGCTTCCTGAGGGGCATAATTTGGGTAGCAGCTGGTGCGGGAGAGAAGAGCCAGTGTCCTCGACCCTGGGTCTGCCCTTTAACCCCAGCCAACACGGGCCTCAGGGGCAGACGGTCCGGGCCAGGTCCGGGCGCTCTGCTTCCTCGGGGTCCCTAGAGGCTGGGCTCCGTACCTTTCCTGGCACGCTGCAGGTCAGAGACCCCCTGGGGGTAAAAAAAAAAAAATCGCCGGCCTCTTCCCAAAAGTCTTGAGAGCCTCACGGACTGTTCAACACTCTCCGCCAAGGAGCTCGTTGGCTCCGCTGGGCACGAACCGAGGATCAAGACGGGGGGTGGGGTGGGTGGTTACTTGAGGTTCTGAGAAATTTACAAAGAGAGTGGGGCCGGAGTAGAAGATTCCAGGTGTTTCGTTTTTGCAGGGATGAAATCACCCATAAAATCTGCATAAAGTAGAGAATTGCCTAGCTGAAACAAGTAAGTTTCATCCTACAAATTTTTCCGCCTACCCTCCTTCCTTCTTTGGACATACATCTTACTTAACAGTCCCGTTCCATCCCTCCATATTTTTATGCCCAATCGCCCTTCACCCCTGCCTTTCTCGTCCAACGACACTAATCCAGAGCCGTGGGGTGGAGGTGACACAGCCGACACAAACCAGAAGTGGGGATTTCACAACCTTTATGGTCCCCGTACCCACACCATTAACTACCCCAATCCCGGGGATGCAGGTTTGTGTAATGAGGGTCCGCGCACCCTCTCCCCCTCCGCGTCGGTTTTCATGCGAATCTTCGCAGTAAAGACCTTGCGCTTTCCGAGTGCGTTCGGTCCACGCAGTCAGGTCGCGGTTTGCCCTGGGCGTAGCGTGGAGGTGCAGATTCATAGCTTACTCAGGAGAGCGGCAATGCTGAAAAGTGTGAGCTTACTGTCCTCCTAGGCAAACGAGTTGCAAAGGCGCTGTGTCCTCTAGCGGCAAACTCTCGCAGTTCAATTGTGAGCGCTCAGCTACACCTAAGGGATCTCGTCCGAAGTCAAGGCGCACTCAGATTTGCGTCCTAAGTGTGTGTTGGGGGGTGGGGTGGGGGAGTCTCCAGAATGAAACACAGGCTTTAGCCCGGGCCCTCTCGGTAATGAGGCTGGGAGGCCCGGGCACAGCCGCTCGAACTGTGCGGAACAGCTGATTTGTCTCCTCCACGGCAGATGGTCTTTGAGCACAGATTTGCATTCATTGTCTTCAAATCTGTTTTCGCGCTGGTGTTCTAGATTTCAGCAGCAGATCTGTGCACAGATCACAATACAAAAGGAGAAGCCAGAAAATAACACCCAGCCAGGAGGACTTTTTTTTTTTTAATAGGCACCGCGAGCTGCCCGGCGTAGTTAAAAAGCCTTCTAGAGTTTCAGCTGTTTGGCGGAGCTTGCCGCCGCCTCCCTGCCTTCAGCCCGCGCGGCCAGCACCCTGGCGACCGCGAGCTTTGGGCAAAGTTTCCAAAACTGCCCCGCTGCCTCCCCGCTGCCTCCCCGCAGCTCCTCTGCTGGCCCCCGGGGGCTTCGGGAACGGGGGGGGGGGCGGGAGGGAAGAGGGACCGGAGGGAGCTCGGGACAAACGCCGGGCAGCCCTCGCACTCAGCCTGCCACGATCTGTCAGCAATCTCTCATCTGCACCGGGTGCAACTCCGGCTCGCGTCCGCCGGGGGGTATTTTCCTTAGCGCTCAGACCATTTTCCCCGACATCCTAATTTATTTGAATAGCACTTGAGCCTTGTTCGTCCCCTTCCCGCCACCCTCCACCCCGCTCCGCTTTCATTCATATATCCTTGTCTTTTAACTTGCAAAACAGCTCACAAAATGAGTGTCACCAAGTAACTCCAGGAGACTCGAGAGAGCCCGTCCGGGGAACTGGGTTGCTCTCGGGAACGTTTGCACAAAACATTAAGTACATGTGGTCACACTCAGCTTCTTCATAGACCTGCACATAGAACCCAAGCAGCCTTGGGAATGACTATGCCTCCCGCAGGCTAAGAAAGTCCGCATTTAGAGGCAGGCTCGCTGAAGCTTCCAGCTGCCGCGACCAGACTTATCCCGGGCGCACCAGCCGGCAGGGCCAGGCTACCCGACTTCAGGGCAAGATTTGCGGGCCCCCATCTCACGCACACACACACACACACACACACGGGGTTCGGGCTAGGACTCAGCGCCCGCAGCTTTCTGTCCCCTTTCACCTCCCGGACTACAGGCGACGCCGAGCGTGGCGCGCGCCGCCTAAGGACGTCGACCAGGCCTGCCCAGCGCCGGCCAATCCCGAGCGTCCATGCAAATTAGGCTCCTTATCGGGCCTCGGCTCCGCCTCCCGCGGCCTGGGGCCGTAGTAACCCATTCATGGGGCAGGCGCGCGGTTGTAACCCGGCTCCGCAGTGCTCGCAGCCACCGCCTCTTCTCGACTCCGGGTCTTCCCCTTCCTTTTACTACCGATCCTGTTGGGGATTTAAAAAAAAATTTTTTTTTTAAATTGGAGCGGTGGGGAGGAGCAGGGAGGGGGGGTGGGGGACCAGGAGGAAGGGGAGAGATTAGGCAGCCATCAATCTCCTCCTGTTTCTCCCAGAACAGGTGATGCTTCAAAATTGTGATCACTTTCTGGAGGCAGCGCTGCCACTGGAAGGATGCGAGCGACCTAAGGCGGAGGGCCTGAGGCGGCAGATCTGAACTTGCGAAGGATATAACCCAAACTTTAGCTACATCAGCCCGCACTCAAGCGTGGAAGCAAAGGACGGGTTATATTTTTTTATTTTCCCCCAAGAGAGACTCGAACTTGAGCACTTGATCCCTTTTCTTGGATTGCTTTTGGAGGAGACGGTTTGGTGGCAACGTTGGGAAAAGCGAGGACAGCGTTGTAACTCATTTTTTAAAAAGCGACAGTAGATAAGACTTTTTAAATGTTTGGGATCCAAGATACTTTAGGAAGAGGACCAGCTCTAAAAGAGAAATCGCTGGGCGCCGAGATGGATTCGGTCAGGTCCTGGGTCCGAAACGTCGGCGTGGTGGACGCCAATGTCGCGGCGCAGAGGTAACGGGACGGCCGCAGGGTGATTCTGCTTGCGATCTCTCGCCTGTTCGCTCTCTCGCTCTCACTGCCTGGTCTCCGCGTGTCACCCCCCTCGCTGGTCTCGCTCTCGCTCGTTCTCTCTCCTCCGCATCCGTCGCCCTGACCCTGCGCGCTAGGGCTCACCCTCCGGCCGGCAGGTCGCTGCTGTTAGGGGAACACTTACCCCTCTGCCAACACTCGAGTTTCTGAACTGCCTGGGTTCCCCCACTCCTTCTCCGCAGACTACTCTTTGGCAGGAAAAATAACAAAGTAGTATCTGAGGCTTCTCAGCTTGGTCCCCAGTCCTGGCAGGCGGGCCGGGCCAGGAAAGGAGAGTGAGGACCCAGACCGGCAGCCGCCGGAGTAGAGCCGGCTTCCCGGCTACTCTCGGGTTTCGTCTCGCTCCTTGAGAGCGCCTCTCCTCCCGCATCTTGTCGGGCGATTCCTGGAGGCCCGGAGCCCACGGCCAGATGGCGGCGGCGCCTGGAGGAGCCTGAGAAGCCGGAGCGCGCCTGCCGGGGAAGGCAGATCGGCCGGGCCCCCAGGCAAGGGGCAGGCTGGAGGGTCCGGGAGCAGAGATAAAACAGTGGACCAGACGCACAGAGGCGGGGGTGAGGGGGAGAGAAGAGACTAAGCAGAAAAGACGGGGAGTAACACTAGAAGGAACCACAGAGGGAAGAAAGGAGGAAAGAAGACGTGAGTCAAGCGCAGGGGTCACAAGCCTCTAGTTACACTAGCCCCTGAAGTTGACTTTGTTTTGAGCATCCTTGTAGGGGGGGGGGGGTAGCAAACGCCTTGTCTAGGCTACCACCCCGTGCGGGCATTCTGGTTCCCCTCCCGCATCACCACTGTGGAGCTGATGGGTGGTCTCCACGACCTTGTCTGCCGGAGACAGCTCCTTAACGCCCTGCAGCCCACGATCTTCTTCCCATGACTGCCGCCTCTCTATCGGCTCTCCTGGCCACCCCCCTCTAAGTACCGACACCGCGCGGAGAAATGACTGCTGTCCAGGCCAGGACTCCGGGTGTCCCGGTTAGAGCGAAGCGGGCTGCCACCCTTGGAGGAGAGGAAGCCAAAGTCGCTTCGCTCGGGAGACCCGGACGGGCGGCAGCTCCCTCCCTTCTGCCTCAGCCCGGGGGCGCCAGTGTCCTGGAGCAGATGGCTCGCCGCCGCGGCGACGGCTTTCCTGGCCGTCTGCGGGACTCGCTGGGCTGCGGGCCGAGGGAAAACAGGCAGGACCGCAGAGCGGGTGCCTCGGCGCAGTCCCTTAGCCGACCTCTCAAAAGACACCTCCTCTACTTTCCTCCTTTCCCCGATCCAGTAATTGTTAAAGTTGAAGCAGGCGGTCCGATGGGGGATTCTAGTCAAAA